TGGCGGTAAGAGATTTGCGGACAATGAAGAAGTAATCGAAGCTGTAAATGGTTATTTTGAGGAGCTTGACGAATCAGTCTATAGAGATGGCATTAATAGACTGGAACACCGCTATGAGAAATGTATCAGCCTTGGAGGAGATTATGTTGAGAAATAAAAAAAAAAAATTTTTAAAAACCTTGTTTTTCTTGGTCAGGCCGGAAACTTATCAATCCACCCTCGTATTGTATTCACTTTTTTTTAATCCATTTTATTATGGTCTGGCTGCTTACAAAAAGTGTTGAAATACTTCTCTAAGTGTCGTATTTAAAGATTAAGACTCATACTATACGTTAAATTACAATCTTTTTTGTGACCTTTGAAGCGGCTAGAAAAAATTACCGTCTATGGCAAGTGTCTGACAGTGTTGATGATATTTTTAACAGTATTCTGCGAGTAACTATTGCAGCCTGTTTAAAAAATCAGTTGTTATTTTACCTTCAAAACTAAATAAACCTAAAGGATTTTGAAAATAATTATTTGATGTTGTTGCAGCTACACTGGGTTATCCTTCTGCAGTCGCCGAGGAGATTTCCTGGTTCACTTGTCCTGGGGGAGAAGCCCTTATCTAATCCGCCCATGACCTGAACGGTGAGCTTTTTAATTATTCTGACTGTATTTATTATTTTATAAAATCTTGCTTTTCCATGTAAGGAACTAAAATTATCAATTCCTTTTTTAGATAATTTTTCCGACCTCATGCTAGAAAATACATAACATTTTTCAAAATTGTAAAAACACGAATAAATTAAAGAGATCACGTTTTAATATTTTTTTACTTTATCTTACTATTGAAGTCAGTTTAAAAAATCAGTTTTTACTTTACCTTCAAAACTAAATAAATCTAAAGGATTTTGAAAATAATTAATTGATGTTGTTGCAGCTACATTGGGTTATCCTTCCGGAGTTGCCGAGGAGATTTCCTGGTTCACTTGTCCTGGGGGAGAGGTTCTCATCAAATTCGACCATGACCTGAACGATGTTGTTGCAGCTACATTGGGTTATCCTTCCGGAGTTGCCGAGTAGATTCCTGATTCACTTGTCCTGGGGGAGAGGTTCTCATCAAATTCGACCATGACCTGAATTGTGAGCTTTTTCGATTATCCTTACTGTATTTATTATTTAATTAAATGTCGCTTTTTCATCTAAGGGACTAAAATTATCAATTCCTTTTTTTTGTGTTTTTTTTTGGCCTTATAGGATAAACCGATAACATTTTTTAAAATTGCAGGAACATTANCATGAAGATCTAATAAGAGACATTTTAGAGGCAGAAACGGGATTTAGGAGGGGTTGAGGTAGACCTAGACTATATTACTGTTCCCAAATAGTTAAGGATGTTGGTTGCTCTAATTTTAGAGAAATGCGAAGATTAGCTCAAGATAAGAAAGAGTGGAGGTGCGTGTCCAACCAGTCTTAGGACTGACCACCTTATAATGAATATGTAGTTTGATTATTTTGTTAAAAGAACGAGTCAAAGTTAGAAAAAAAGTATACTACAGTCTATATACCTTCCATGCTGAGATTTTTCCGGAGAACATGGTATCAATAACCATTTTCCGTTTCACTCACTTTTTACTTTTTACAGTAAAATGTTACCATAATAAAATACTAAATATATACGATATGAAACAAGCAACAAAAAGGCGTAAAGATGAATGTAACAGTAACAATATATAGGACAGATACGTACGACCTCCCAATGTATACTGCCAACTCCAACTGTTAAGGTTATCATTCCAATATGCAACATATATGTATTATAGTCAGAGATGTGAAAAACGGTTGTTAGTTACGATGTACTTGAAATTTGAAATAGAAAATACAAAATATGAAACGATTTGCTATTTCATACACAAACGTAAAATGGTTCTTAAAAAATGTTTTAAAATAGAAAATACAAACACAATTACACAAAAGAAAATTCTGGCCTGGTGGTCTAATTATGTATACTGTATGTCGGTCGCTAAATCAAAATCCCAGGTCAATTTAACCCCAGCACGTCAGGGTTTGGATGTATCTTCAAAAAACATTCCAAAATCCATTAAAATCGTTAATCATCCCAAACGACTTTAAACTTAAAATCCATAACCAATCAACTCATTCCCTAAATGTGTAACTTCATAATCTTTTAAACCCCTAATCCTAAAATCTTATGTTTCCATAGCTCTATATCATCGGAATCAAAATACTGAAATAGTTTCGCTCAATTTCTTACAGCAAAACCAATTTCATAAAATTAATACAAAATATCCTCATGATTCCCAAATAAATTTAGTGAAAGACTTGATTGATTACTTAAAACGTGAAGAGAATATTAATAGCCCAGGGTAATAAGCAATAAATAATTGTTGAGGACATAAAAGAAATTTAAATATTATTGCAGGTAATACTGGCCTGCAGGAACAATAGCTATGCTTTTTCTTCAAATAATTTGGTGTGGCCTTTTAATTATTAACAATTACAAGTCAGAGAAATCGATATTCTTTCATATTTTTGCCTACCAGGAATATTAGATCAACAGCTGGGAGTAACCAGCTTGTAAGGAACAAAAAACCTTTTAAACAACGGTTTTCAAATTTCGATATGATTATTTGTTGCTTAGTAAATTGCAAAAAACCATCAAAATCTGCATAATATTTGATGAACAATAAATATTTTAAAAATCAACCTATTACGACTTTGTTAATATATTAAAGGTTGGGTCCTGTAGAAGGTACTGAATATATGGTAAAAAAATCAGAGCGGTTAATCAAAGTTTTGAAAAAAAATTGAAATAATAAAAATACAGCTGTTTTACATCATTTTTACCCTATAAACAAAAACGAATAACTTCGTTGCTGTAACTTGTAGAATTTTTAAAAAAGAATAAATTGTCCTAAGACAATATGGGGGAATATTAGTTATTTTTCTTTTTTAAATTTTCCGATACTTTGTTTGTAATAATAATTAAAAAACTTAACTAGCTCCTTTTGAAACATAGAAAGACTAATGTTTTTGTGTAACAAAATTGAAAACAATTGCAACAATTGACATCATAAGCTGTTAATCTGGAACTTGTTAACAGATTTTGATTTAATTTCTGGCACCCTTTACAACTTTACATATATTATGAATGTTTGTTTATAAATTAACTTTTAAACATTATTCCGAAAACCTTTTCTTAAACTGTGTATAATTTTTTTGTAATAATTGTTGCAGGCAAGCAGCAATAGCTTATATTAACTTTAATATAAAAAGCTCGCTATCTGTTTTTTATTACGTTTATACGTTATTGATTGTACCTAAATGGGTTTTTAAACAAATAAAAAATATTTCACGAATATATTTCTCATTATTTAGCAATTATAACTTATTATATTACTTATACGACTTAGTTATTATTATTTAGTTAATTATAAATGTTGTTGTTTACATTATTAAAGTTAATAATATTAATTATTAAGAAGACCCTGTCTCTCTTTCTCTCGCTATATCTTATCCACTTTTCATAACTGTTTCCAATACCTTCTTTCACCATATTTCCTCCTTCATATACCCTTCTTCTAGCCTCTCCTTATACTTTACATTTCTGTTATCGCTTCTTCCTACATAATTTGGTATATTTCTCTCTCTTGCAACACCCACTTGATATATATCCTATCCCCATATTTCCACCTCACATTGATTAACACTAGCTTCCTATCCCAATCATCCTTACATAATTTGTAGCCTAACCCCATACCCTTCTCATAATTATCCCTCCCTTACCCACTGGATTCATTTTATTCTATTATCACCGAGCATATATCCCAGGTACTTATGAATAATTATCCACTTTTTCTATCTCAACTCCCTTCCATACTATTTTGTTTCTTCCCTTCCCGTTTTTCCTCTCTTCTCCTCAAATTTCATGACATTTGACTTTTCACTAGCTCCAACCCTTTTTTTTTAATAAACTCTTTCTAGTTTTCCTACCTTTTCCTTTAATCTCACAAAACTATTTGCTAGCGACACGCTGTATCATCTGTCTATATTAAATACATTCCTAAGTAACTTTTGGTTTATTAATAAGAAAACCATTTAGGTATAAACGTAATATTAAATGATACCGTGCTTTTTATATAAAATAGAGAAAAGAATTAATCATTTACAGCAATATTTTGTTTATTAAAACATATATTTGTCTATAACAATTACAAAGAAATTGACATTCTAAGAAATAGGTTTTATAAATAATTTAATATAGGTAAAATCATTACCTAAACATCATAAACAAGACATAGCGAACTGTTTATGTACAATCTAAAAAACAATTTGTTGTTTATAACATTATCGTGCTTATTTATGTAACCTATTTCCATCCTTGCCTGTAGTAATTACAAAAAATATTACATTTTAAAAAAAAGCTTTTCAGGTATAACGTGTTTATTTTAAAAGTTGATATGCAAACAAATTGTGTATTCGAAATGTTTGTGAAGGGGTGCTAGCAATTAAAAAAATGAACATCAAGATATGTTGACAAGTTCAGGGAAATAACTTATTCGATCAGCTTGAAGAGTTCAATTTTGTTACATACAGTAAACATTCGTTTATCATTAAAATGGAGCTGGTTAAGTCTTTCAATTATTATAAGGGATAGCAACGAAGTTATGGTATTTATTGTAAGGAAAAGACGATAGTTTTTTTTAATGATATTTTATAATATTGACAATTGTTTTGTTCTGATAGTTTATTTTAATAAAACAACTTTTCCCCTTTCATTGTTATGTGCATAATGTTATAAAAATCATCTCTGCGATAAACAATTTCTTGATGAATCGCTCTGAATTTTTTACCATGTATTTAATTTTACAGGACCAAAACTTTAATACAATTATAAAGTCGTAATAGGTTTATTTTTACAGAATTTATTGTTTATTCAATATTATGCAGATTTTGAAAGTTCTTTGCAGTTTTCTAAGCAACAAATAATATCATCGACATTTAAAAATCGATATTCAAAGAGTTTTAAACACTATTTCTTACTAATAAGCAGAAATGTTTTTTTTATTTTTAATTGTTAATAACTAAAAAATCACATCCAAACCAAAACACCAAACCACAGAAGAAGCATAAGATTTGTTCCTGTAAGTTTATTATTATTACCTGAAAAACTTATTAGATACCTGAATTTTGTTTAGAGTCCTGTCGATAATCCTATTTCCCTGGACTATAAAATTTATTAAGCTTTTTTGTTATCTTATCTATTTAATTATTGTTTAAATGTAAAAACATTGATACATATTTAATTACAGGACATCACCACCACCATCAGGAGTTGCTTCTTCTGGACACCTTCATCCATGAGGGGATCGACGGTACGTCGCGTGTACTTCAATCGGGAGTGTCGGTCGGGAGTGTTCTCGGGGTCCAGCTTCGAACTTCGAAGCTTCCAACACCGGGAATCTCGGAATTTCCGAGATCCTTCGTTTTGGAAACTTCGGAATTCGAATCTCAAGGACTCCAAAACCTATGATCCCATATCGGGATCAAGTTTTTGGAGTTCTTGTGATTTGTTTTCTGACGTTTCCGGGACTTGGGATCTTGGGAATTTCGAATTTCGTGTGCTGGGGGCTTCTAGTTCGAATTTGGACTCCTCAAATTTCCGGGCAAAGCCCCGGACGGTCTTCGAATAACAAAAACGTTCGCACTAAACCTGGTAGGCGTGAAAAATTTGTTTTTGTCTTTTTTTAATGTAATAATAAAACAACGTTGTGGTAATTACACTCTCTTTTATTTTAATTTCCGTGCCCTCACCCCCTGGTGCATTCACTCTCACATTCACTCACGACACCCCTCTCTACGAGGGTGGAGAGGGGTGTCCCCTCTCATACGCATTCACTCCCCACTCGTAACACCCCTCTCTACCCTTGCAAGGGTGGAGAGGGGTGTCCCCTCTCATACGCATTCACTCCCCACTCGCAACACCCCTCTCTACCCTCGCAAGGGTGGAGAGGGGTGTCCCCTCTCATACGCATCCATTCCCCACTCGCAGCACCCCTCTCAAACGCATTCATTCCATACTCGCGGCACCCCTCTCTAAACTCGCAAGGGTGGAGAGGTGTGCCCCCTTTCACATACATTCATTCCCCACTTGCGTATACCTCTCTTCCAGCCTCATACGAGAGGATGGAAAGGGGTGTACCCTTTCGTACGCAATCATACTCCCTCCGAAACATTCATACAAACACGCCGCCTCTCTTACACACATGCACTCATGTACACCCCTTTTATCCCATAAACATTCATATACCTAGGGAATGTATGTGTGAGATTAAAAGGAATGTAACCTCTCTTACGATCTCTTACATTCATACAAACACCTCCCTTTCGTTCACATCCTTACTCTCCCTACCACCCTCTCTTACGATCTCATCCTTCATTCAGACCCTAGCAAACATACCCTCTCTCTCTCTCATTCCACTCTCACATCTGTTTCCACTCTTACATGCACTCCCCTTTTTCAACGAGAGGTGTGTGCATGTAAGGGTGAAAAAGGTTGTATCACCCTCCTAACGCTCATTCCCTTCATTTACACTCGAACATTCGTACAAACACGCCCCTATCTCGCTATCACATTCTTTCCTCCTCTTCCTTTCACTCTTATACTTACTTACACCCCTTTCCACCTTCACATATCGACACACTTTCTTACCCTTCTGTTTACGAAGAAGGTAGAGGTGTGATTGTGTGAGGATGAACAGGGATGTATCATTTTCTCTTATGCATTTATACCCATTTGCTTTCTTTCATCCTTTCACCTTGATACATTCCTTCATCCTTATCTTCACAATCCCTCTATCATTAGCACTCTTCTTATATCCACGTTCTTACCCTTTCATATACACTTATTCTCACATCACACTCTTACCCTATCACATCCTCCTGATCATGCCCTTATTCTCTCACATTCACCACCACCCTTGCTTTTACACTAATGCCACCCTGTCATTCGTTTGTTAACATTCTTCGTACTTCCACGAGTACCCTATACCATTCTCTGCCATACCCTTATTCTCACACGTGCATCACCTCCCACGATTTCACACTGTTCCCCATCACATTCTCACAATTATATCCTTATTCTCCCACATTTACCACCACCCTTGCTTTCATACTCAAACCACTCTGTCATTCTCTCATTAATATTCCTTCCATACTTCCACGATTACCCTCTCACATTCTCAATCATACCCTTATTCTTACACGTTCATCACCCTTAATTTCACACTGTTCTTCTTCCAATTACACCCTTATACCCTCACATTTACCACCACTCCTCCTTTCATACTTATACTGCTCTGTCATTCCCTCATTACCATCCATGCTTGAACACTGTCATTCCCTCATGTTTACCAACATCCTTGCATTCACCCACACATTCTTTTAAACATTCTTACTCTCTCTCCCCAAAATAAGTCCCCTGTTCCCCAAAGTTTATTGTTACAGTGATATTTGCATATATACCAATAATAACTAAATACTTATATATATAGCATTTGATAAACATTCTAAAAACTAATTATATGCTAACGTAATTTTCATTAATATTCATTAATATTTACCTAAATAAATTAATTTTCTTAAGGTATTCAAACATTAAATAAATACACAAGTTATGTTATCTTAAGATGTAACATAAATAAATTATTGGGTAGGCACTTAAATATTTTATCACAATACATTCATATCATAAAAAAGTGGACTTATTGAAATTTGTACTGACCTCGTTTTTAAAGCGAATTTTTCCATAATTCAATTACGTACCTGCCAGTTTATTAAATATCAATAAAACCGAGAAAAAATATTCTTAAATACATTAATTTATCAACAAATAAAAAAGATCAGTTTTGTGTACTATTAAGCAATGATATAGAGTAAGTAATATTTATCAAAAAAAAAAAAAAATT